TCTGTTTTTCACTTCCAGATTCTCACTTATAGTGGACCTTGTCTTAGTTTTCTATTTATCACTAACCCTCTTCAAATTTACTGAGTAATATTTTAGGTCACAATAAAAAATCACTTCTAATTCAGCCTCGCGACTTTTCTACCAAAAGACAAAGATTAATTGATTAAGAAAACCTGGTTATGTAAATTAAAAGGAAACAATAACTATGTATTTTTTTCATTGAAGTATAGTTGGTTTGCAATATTATATGGGTTTCAAGTATCAACATAGTAGTTGAATAGTTAAACACATTATTAAATGCAATTACTATCTGTCAACATAAAAAGATAGAACCATTGGCTATATTCTCCATGCTATACTACCATCCCCATCACCAACCTATATTATCACTGGGATTTGTGTGCTCCATTATCCCTCTCACCCTTCCCACCCACCCACCCACCACAAGCCCTCTCTGATGGTAACCACTGTGCAATTCTGTGTCTATGAGTCTACCGGTATTCTGTTCATTTTGTTTTACCTTGTTTTTAGATTCCACAAATATGTGAAATCACTTGGTATTTCTCTTTCTCTACCTGGATTACCTCACTTAGCATAATACACACTAGGTCCATCCATTTTGTTGCAAATTTCAGGATTTCTTATTTTTTATGGCTGAATAATATTCTGGTGGGTATCTGTTCCACATCTTGTTTATCCATTCATCTGTTGATGGACACTTCAGTTGCTTCCATATCTTGGCTATTACAAATAATGTGGCAGTAAACACAGGGGTGCATTTATCTTTTCAAAACAGGGATTTTGTTTTATTTGAATAAATTCTTAGAAGTGGGATTACTGAGTCATATGGTATTTCTATTTTTAGTTTTCTGAGGAAATGCCATACTGCTTTCCATAGTGGATGCACCAATTCACATTCCCACAAACAGTCTATATGTTTCTCTTTCCTTTGCATCCTCTCCAACACTCGATATTTCTTGGCTTTTGGAGAGCAGTCATTCTAACCGGTGTGAGGTGATATCTTACTGTGGTTTTGATTTGCATTTTTCTGATGATTAGTGATGTGAAGCATGTTTTTCTAGGCCTGTTGGCCATCTGTATGTCTCTTTGGAAAAATGGCTGTTCAGGTCCTCTACCCTTTTTTAATTGGACTGTTTGGGTTTTTTTGATGTTGAGTCATATGAGTTCTTTATATATTTTGGATGTTAACCCCTTATCAGAAAAATCACTTGCTAATATATTCTCCCATACTGCAGGTTGCCTTTTGGTTCTATTGATGGTGTCCTTGGCTGCACAGTATGGCTGCACATAACTAAAACAACAATTTGTATGATGTCTGACTTCTTCATTTTAGCTTTTGTTTCTGTTGCCCGGGGAGATGTGTCCAAAAAAAATTTGCTCATGCTTATGTTCAAGAGATTTTTGCCTGTTTTCTTCTAAGAGTTTTATGGTTTCAAGTCTTACATTCAGGTCTTTAATCCATTTTGAGTTACTCTTATATATAGGGATAGACAGAAATCCAGTGTTATTCTCTTGTGTATAACTGACCAGTTTTCCCAACACCATGTGTTGAAGAGATTGTATTTTCCCCAGTGCACATTCACGGATCCTTTATCATGCTTTAATTGACTGTATATGTGTGGTTTATAACTGGGCACTATATTCTATTCCACTGATCTGTGGCTCTGTTCTTGTGCCAATACCATACTGGTTTGAATACTAGCTTTGTAGTATAGCTTTAAGTCAGGGAGTATAATAGCCCCGGCTTTGTTCTTCTTTCTCAGGATTGCTTTAGCTATTTGGGGTCTTTTGTGATTCCATACTAATTTTAGGATTATTTGTTTTAGTTCATTGATAAATGCCATTGGTATTTTGATAGGGATTTTACTGAATCTATAAATTGTATTGGGCAGGATGGCCATTTTGACAATAATCTTCCATCCACGAAAATGTGATAGTTTTCCATTATTTTTGTCTTCTTTAATTTGTCTCCTCAGTGTCTTATAGCTTTCAGAGGTCTTTACCTCCTTAATTAGGTTTATTCCTAGGAATTTATTCTTTTTGATGCAATTGTAAAAAGAGTTGTTTCCCCAATTTCTCTTTCTGCCAGATCATTGCTAGTATATGGAAATGCAACAGATTTCTGTGTATTCATTTTGTAACCCTCAACTTTGCTGAATCCTATTATTAGTTGCAATAGGTTTTTTGTTGAGTGTTTAGGGCTTATATATAGTATCATGTCATCTGCAAATAGTGACAGTTTCACTTTTTCCTCATCAATTTGGATACCTTTTATTTCTTTATCTTGTCTGACTGCTGGGGCTAGGATTTCCAGTACTTTGTTGAGTAAAAGTGATGAGAGTGGACATCCTAATCTTGTTTCTGATTTTAGAGAGAAATCTTTCAGCTTTTCACCATCGAATATGATGTTAGCTGTGGGTTTGTATATATGACCTTTATCATGCTGAGATTTGTTCCCTTTATACCCATTTTGTTGAGAGGTTTTACCATGAAGAGATGTTGAATTTTGTCAGGTGCTTTCTCAGCATCTATTGAGATGATTGTGTGGTTTTTCTCCTGCTTTTTGTTAATCTGGTGTATCACAATGATTGATTTATGAATATTGCACCATCATTGAATACCTGGAATTAATCCCACTTGGTCAAGATAGATGATCCTTTTGATGTATTTTTGAATTTGGTTTGCTAATATGCTGTTGAAGATTTTTGTATCTATGTTTATTAGGGATATTGTTCTATAATTTACTTGTTTTTTTGTACAGTGTCTTTGGTTTTCATATAAGAGTGCTGCTGGCTTCATAGAAAGAGTTTGGAAGTATTCCTTCCTCTCCTTTTTGGAATACTTTAGGAAGGAAGTATAATAACCCTTCAAATCTTCAGTAGAATTCAGCTGTGAAACCATCAGATCCTTGACTTTTGTTACTGGTAATTGGTTTGTCCAGATTTTGTGTTTCTTACTGGGTCAGTCTTGGAAGGTTATACTTTTCTAGGAACTTGTGCATTTCCTCTACATTGTCCAATTTATTGTCATAATTTTTCATAGAATTCTCTAATAATTCTTTGTATGGCTATGGTGTCAGCTGTAACTATTCCTTTTTCATTTGTGATTCCTTTGTTTGTGTGACCTTTTTTTTTCTTGATAAATCTGGATACGGGCTTGTCTATTTCATTTATCTTTCAAAGAACCAGCTCTTGGCTCCATTGACTTTTGTCTATTGTTTTATTCTTTTCTGTTTTATTTATTTCTGCTCTGATTTTTATTATGTCCCTCCTATTAACTTTTGGTTTCATTTGTTCTTTTTCTAGTTTTTCTCAGTTGTGAGTTTAAACTGTTTATTTGGGTTTTTCTTGTTTCTTGAAGTAGTCCTGTATTGCTATGTACTTCTTTCTTTGAACCACTTTCACAGCATCCCGTATATATTGAAGTGTTGTATTTTTGTTTCCATTTGTCTCCATGTATTGCTTGATTTCTTCTTTGATTTGTTCATTGATCCACGTTTACTTAGAAGCATGTTGTTTAGCCTCCATGTGTTTGTGGGGGTTTTGTTCTTTCTGAAATCATCAATTCTTTTCCACATGTCAGTGAGCCATACTTATCACTGTTATTTTGAAAACTTCATCAAGAAGATTGGTGATCTCTGTTTCACTTAGCCCTCTTCTTAGTATCTCCTGTTGTTTCATTTAGAACATATTCACTGCCTCCTCATTTTGTCTGATTTCTGTGTTCCATTTTGTGTATTAAATAGATATGTGTGCCTTCTTGTCTAGAGAGCTATAGCTTTATGAAGGTGTCCTGAGGTGCCCGAAAGCTCAAGACTCTTTGCTCACCTGTGCCTGGTTTTCCTTAGTAGTGGAGACAGAATTGCTGTTGGTGGGCTGTGGTAGGAGCCACCTTTCTGACTTTCTGCCAGAAGTGGCTGATCTTGGTCAACAATAGTTGACTGTTTACCTTGGTGGGCCCTTTGTGAGTTGTGTGCAAGTGCTTCTTCAGGGATCATTGTGGACAATGCTGCCCTCTTCCTGTTGTGAAGTAATGGCAGAGCTACTGTGCTGTTAGGGATGGTAGGCCAGGTCACCACTGGGAAGGAAGGAGCATTTGGACCTGGCTTCTGCAGGCACCTCGGCAGTTGGGCTGAGAGAGGGCCAGGTCCACAATTTTGGCTGATGCTGGGCTGAGTGTACTATGCGGGTGGGAGAACAGGAAGTGCCTCTGGGCTGAGACATTAGTTGAAGGAATGGAGCATTTGGGACCAGCCTTCTGTGAGTGCCCACCTAGTTGGGCTGCAGGAGGGCTGGGGAAGAGTCATTCACCTGCCCTTCTCCTGTTGAGAGAGCTCTATCCAAACAACACCTGGCCTTCTGCCATCCTTTCCACGGCCCTAAATCATTCTACAGCTTGCTTGTTGGGTCTAAGCAGGACTGACAGTGCATGCCTGTCTTCCATAAGCGGTAGGAGTCTCAGCCTCCCAGAGTGCTCTGACTCTACCTGGTGTCCAACCCCATAAATCACCAAGCCCATTGCAATGTGGACTTGTGTTTGCTTAACAGATTTCCAGGGCCAGATGTACAGAGTTCCTGAGTGCTTATCACCTCGCTACTTCATTCCCCTCCCTCCTTGCTTGTGGGCTGGGATCAGGGAAGGGCAAGCTTGATTGAAAGTGGCTCTGCCACTTTATCCTCCTCTGTATGGTCTTCTTTTCTTCCCCAGGTGTAGATGGTCTGCTCTGCAGTCTTCAGATCATTTGCTGTAGTTGCTTCCTTGGTGCATATGTGCAGGAGGTTTCCACCTTGCCTTCCTACTCTACCATCTTTTCTCAAGCTCTCCCTTAAAAATACAATTTTAAGTGAAATAATGACACATTTTTAGATATGAACCATATAATGAATGTATTTTCTTTACATATATATCACAATTTAACTAAGCAGATAAGTGTAAAATACAGAATGCTCATAAATTTTTCTATGTCAAATCTTGAACAGAAAGAACGAGAAAGAGGTTCTAATTTGGCCTTTATGTTTCGACTACCTTTTGCGGCTGGGAGGGTGTTTAGCATCAGTATGTTGGACACACTTCTATATCAGGTATGAGATATTTACTTTTATCTCTCAAAAATTATTTTTAAATATATTTTATAGAATAAATAATAATCGAGTATTTCTCATGGAGCTGTTAACTTAATATTGGCCCTGAAAATAATTCAATATTTTATTTAATGTGTTTGATGACATAAATATGAAACATTTTGTAAGAAAAAAATTATTTTTCAGATTAATCTATGAAATAATATTTAACATTCTTTAGTCCCAGTGTCCTACAGCATTTATTATGACATTTTAATACATTATGCATATTACTCTAAGTATATTGCTAGACTAAAAAACAAAAGCTAAGAAAAAAATTACTAGGTTAAAAAAAAGACAGCATTGTTCATAATAAATATTTTTTCAAAGTAAGATAAAAACTGATATGAATAAACTGATAAACCAAGAACATTTTAAACATCTGCTAATTATTGCCTACATTATATAAACATAAAAAAGATTTTACAACTAAGAACCATTTAGTTTGTTCTTGAATGCCCAAGTTAACACTGTCATCTTATCATAGCTAAGATATTCAGAGAAATGCTATTTATACAAATGTATTTTAACCTTTTTTTACTCTGTCAGAAATAACAGCAGCAGTGTTTCATATTCTTTGATTCAAATAATAAGACCATTTCTAAATATTTCCAATTCATTAAGACACAGATGATATTCATAGAGCTTTAAATTGTTCAATAACTTTAGTGTCAAATAAGCATTCAAACATTTTGTTATGATTGTACTCTTTTTGATTATGTATTCATGTACCCTTTTCTATACTGTTTGCCTAGTTAAACTAATGCAAATATAGTTAAAGGTTTTCTACTGGCCTTTGGCTTAATCATGCTCATAAGCACGCTTCTAGCGATGTTGCTAGCTGTCTGCTTGTGCCAGATGAGAGCAGAACAAACACTGTGAAGGAGAACAAACACGGCTGCCTGCACGAAGGTTCCAGAACATTCTGGGCACTCCGGGAGGCAGGGCTTCCAACTGCTACCCCAGAAATCATTACTACAGACTCATACCTCCAATCTCCTAAAGAGGAGAAAGGAGTGAAGGGATTGTGTGAAGAGTATTGTTGAAACTGAGGAATTTATATCAATAGCTGTCAAATGCTTATGCCATTATGTACCAGTGTTTTCAGAATTTTTAGCCATACTATCTTATATTAAATAAAATCTCATGTTCTAATGATGTAGATCAGGGTACATTAGATCAGGGTCTAATGTATAAGGTAAATAGAAGGGAAACTGAGAAGTGGAAAGCAATAGGTAATTTTTCTGTTCATTGACTCACCCTTTTTGCTTTAGAGATCTACAAAGTTACATATTTTCTGAAGCCACTGCAAAAAGAATGAACTAGAACAATAATTTTCCAGGGAGTAACTGCTATTTAACTTTCCTGAGAGCAAATGACATATTTTAATGGTCCGATTTTCAGAAATAAAGAGTACTTTGCATGGGTTAAAATAAGATATTAGAAATTATATGCATAAATCTTAAATTATGTAAGAGTATTCTGTATTCTTAAAATATACTGAACTCTTTGTTTGGTTAATGATTTAAGCCCATCTTCTTGAAGCTAAATGTTTACATTATGTATTCAAGAACTACTGATTGCAATTGTGTAGTGCTGTACTATTACTATAATTCTATTTTAGACACTATTTAATTTGTTTTCCCAAAGAAAATTGTGATATAACCAGTATAATCCATCACAATATATAGATGAGCAATAAGGGACCAGAGATAAACTATCCAGTGGTTAATGTGAACCCCCATCTCCATGCCATGTGTGCCTCGTTAGGTCCCTCCCAGTCCCATCTCTGCGGTAAATGATCCCATACTTGGTACTTTTTTTTAAAAGTACCATAAGAAAAAAAGCTGGAATGCTGGTGTCCTTTGTTATTTCTTCTCAATAGACTCTTTTCTCCTTCCCACTAGAAACACAGACCACTTTTATATTTTTAATAATTATATTAATTCCCATCTTTGTAGAGCTGGAAGCCAATTATTAAAAAGTAAGTATTATCTAAAATAAAATTAAATTGATATTAAGTGAAACAAAATAATTATTCTGTGTTTGAATAATGTGAGCTTTAATGCACAAATAATGTGATAACTGGTGGGGCTGTCCCCATCTTTTCGGCTCACTCCTGCTCCTTGTCTGCACCTGATGAAGTCATAGGACAAATGACCTCTGAACAAGAAATGAATTAGTGACAAATATGGTAAAAAAATTAGCTATATTACCACATCTAACTCTCAAACAATTCATAATAGTCATTTGCCAAATCTTCAGCTTACTTTCTTTCTCTTCTATGAGTACTTTCTATTTTTCATTTACATTAGTTTTAAGTGCCTGAGAATTTGTTTAAAAATTTTCCTTCTGTAGTACACACTGATTTACAAATAAATTTGAACAGTGCATGTCACGACTCTTCATGAACCCCAATAAATTCATATCCGAACTACTAGGAGACTAACACACCTTAGAAACCAAACGCCATTTCTTTGGCCTGAAAACAGGGAGTGGATGAATTTCCATATGTTCTTTAGTTTTCTGATATTAGCTGTTGGTAAAATAAATGGGTAATCAACACAGTAATCTAGTGGGTTTATTTAAAAGGCATAACCTTTTGAAAGTTTTTGCAATGAAAATGAAGTAGATGGTTATTTAAAAGTTTCACTTAAAAATTTTTTTTATTAAGGTAACATTGATATACAATCTTACGAAGGTTTCACATGAGCAACATTGCAGTTAGCACATTCACCCATATTATCAAGTCCCGACCATATACCCCATCACAGTCACTGTCCATCAGTATAGCAAGATGTTATAAAGTCACTATAAAAGTTTCACTTTTTAACATTTGAAGATGAAAGTCAAGGCCATCATTTCATTCAATTTACTCAATAATTGTTTATATATAGTGAAATGTGCTTGTATTGGTTGAAAGTTTTTCTTTTCACTTAGTGCTAAAAATAAATTGAAAAAATTGGAAGGTTCATTAATACTCTATTGAGTAGTGTTCTAGCAACAAATCAAAATATACGTTAGCACATAAAATAGTCTGATAGAGATATTTGATACTAAATTTGTTCTATTAGTGAAGAGTTGAAATATAATTGCAAATTTTAGTGTTTAAAAGTTTTTGATAATTCCCTTATTTCAGCTCCTAGCTTTTTTGTTAAAGAGTTCAGATGTTTTTATCATGTCTAATAACATGCATAAAATTTAAGCATATAAGGATATTTTAGAGAATAATTATTAGCCATGTTTCCTTATGGACAGTTTAACTATAGTGTGTGCTAAGGACACTGATAAGACAGATTTTTGTTTCCTTATGTAGCCTTAAGGATGTGTTATGTGAAGTAACCTTTTAGAAATCAATTTTTTTTATGTTGCAGTCATTTGTAAAGGATTATATGATTTCTATCACCAGACTTCTGTTGGGACTGGATACCACACCAGGATCAGGGTTTCTTTGTTCTGTAAGTGAATAATCTCTGGAATATAAAATTGTTCTCATAGACCATTTTGAAATCCATCTATAATGTACTTTGCCTGACTCTCCCATGTCACTTTTTTTCTAATAACTACTCAAAGAATAACCTTATGGTGTTTTAATTCCTTAAAATTTTTCAGGGAAAATATTATTTTAAATTAATAATCATGAAAATAGTCATTCTATGTGAAATTCAGAACAAGTGTTTTTTTTTAGCTGGCATTTGAGACTGATGGCTTCTGACACAAGATGTCATGCTGCAGGGAAAACACCGATCATGCCATTTGGCTCCTCTTTTGTGAATAGAAATACCATGTCAGAGTGATTTAATGAAGTGACTTGTTAACAATTCAGATTTATGATTAGCAGAGTATTTATGCCTCCTAGTTGTGAGCTCTGTGTTCATCTGCTACACATCTTTATCACTATGGGTACTATTGCACTTGGATAGACAACTCCTTTTTGTGCTGGAGTGTTCTTCTCATGTTCATATTTTTTAACATTGGCAGACCTGTTCACTAAATACTGGTAGCAGCCTCTAGCATATTAAAAAAGTCTCCACATGTTTTCCTACATCTTTCAATTACCAGAGACTGTTGTCCACTAATGTTGAGCTAATACAATATCATGCTGCCAAAATGTGAGTAGTTGCTTTTCTTAAGTTTGGGTAAACCCCAAGGATAAGCTGAAGTACAGTGCAATAAATACATCTAAATATATGGATAAGCACTTTGAGATTTCAAAATAAACTTGCTTTAAAAAGTAAAAAATAACCACTGGATTTTTATTTCTTAAAAACTTAACATGTAAATAATTCATATATATTACAGATGAAAATCACTGAGGATGACTTATGGATCAGAACGTATGCCAGACTTTATCAGAAGTTGTGCTCTTCTACTGGAGATGTCCCCATTGGGATCTATAGGACTGAGTCTCAGAAACTTACTACATCTGAGGTTTGGAAATAATCAAAATATTCCAGTTTTAATGTTTAACCTTATTGAATACAGACATTCCTGCTCTTGGAATCAGATTCTGAAAAATATCATAGAAAGTGAAAAATAATGCTGTCTGAATACAGAGTGTCTATCCTCAGAAGCAAAAAAACTTATTTGTTTTAATAAACTATGTCAGAAGGTTACAGAATATTGTTGGCTAAGGACTATTCTATGATTTGGGAACTTTGGGCTCTGAATGCCTTTTGTAGATGTAGGATTTCACATATCTAGAAAATTGTCAGGCAGCAAATTAATTCCAAGAATCCCTCTGACACATTAGAAAAGTTCTCAGGGCATGCAATCTAGCTTTCTAACATACTCCCCAAAACCATATATTAGCATTTTGAAGGAAGCAAAACAAAGGTTAGTAAGCAACGAAACTCACATTCCTCAAACTCTAGATTAAATCCTACTCTGAAGTGAAGAAAAAACTCTAGTAGTGGTACCAGAACTTCCCAGAGGAAAGCTACAGTATATTAACATGGAACAAAATTTCTTATGGTTGCATACAGCTGAAAACATACCCGCACTTTGATTTGCTCATATATGCAGTTCTAAATAATTTTTATATCCTTAATAAATCATTACCTTTTAAATTAGAATCATATGAATAAAAATTTTTGATACACTATCTACAAATGCTTACAAGATTAATATAAATTACAATTCATATTCTTGAAATAGTTTTCTTCTTCATATATCTCAAAGTTACTAGAAATTTTCATTAGTCATCTCTTTCCCTGTATGCAAAATTAACTCAAGGATAAGACTCAGATCAGTATATGCATTTTAGTTATCCATGTAGTCATTAAATCATCTTGTGATAAAATCAACGAATCCATGTACAGAAAGGAAGAGCTTTTTAAAAAGAGAGTGTAAGAGTGATAGAGTAGATTTTTTTTCCTTGTTAAAATTTATAGTTTGACGTTTAAATAAGTATTGTTGAGGTCAGAAGGAAATTGTTTTTCTGAGGTGCTTTTCGGTGGTTTCACCGCAGCTGCAGGAGTCCTAAAGGAAACTCTACTGTCGTATCTGCTGTTGAACCCAAGTTCACTGTTGACTGTTGTCCCCGTGGTTCACACCACAAAGAGCGATACCACGTCAGAGACAATCAAGAATGACTGACAGGAAACATTCCAGACAGTTAAATATGTAAGATAGTTTGATCAGATATGCCTAAAATTTTAAGAACACTGGATCCAAAAAATTATTTGATTAAAGATTAAGAGAAGACAAATGTTTTCACACCTACGCAATTAATAATTACTTATCTGAACATGGTAACAGAAGATTTTCATACAGCAGAGTGTTACGGTATCTTATATACAGGGTCTGTGAATTTGAACATAGTAAATTTTGCCTTTGATCAAGTCCATACCCATGCCAGTCATTTTATATTATTAAGGGACTTTGTTGTATGCTGTTTAAAGTATAGGTAAGGAAAGGATAATTGAGTATTTGTACTGCCATCAAAGAGCATTTAACATTACATTTTTGGTCAACTCTTCCCATCACAAATAAAGATCACCTCAGGAAATGCTTATATATCCACAAACCTCTAGTTAATATGAAAAGCATGCATCTTTGGGAAGATAAAAGGAAACTGGGTTAAGTAAAGATGATATCTTCTGTTTTACTGTGTTGAATTCGTCTTTTAGCATACATACTTTTATCTAAAGTTTATATTCTGCTTATTGAAAATAAATTGAGGTAATTTAAACAATTAAAGATAAAAATAGGACCATCAAGATTTTTTACAATAAAATATATTGATGGGGGCAGAGAAATTAATGTTACCCTAAGTCTAACATGAACTGACTGTCATAGCTGTGTCAGAATTTTACTTTACTTTCCTGGCAAATAAGGCAAAAATAAAATTGTTGAGTTATATAGTAATTGTAGTCTGATACATGAAAAAATGAAAGTCCATCTTGAAGAAAGATTTCTCTTTCCTGGACACTGTTAAAAGAACTGGCATACTATGTGCTTCTCTATTCAAAAGGTTTTAGATAACATGTAGAGTATCTACCTTCAATCATAGTTTCACAAATTGCAAAAGTGACATTAAAGTTAATATCTCTTACATTAATCTTTTTATTTTTTAAAAAAGAGACGAGCATTAATTACATAGTAACATAGTAAATTCATTGAGTTTTGTGTGAAGAGGAAAACATTGTTTTTTCCATGGTCATATAAAAACACAGAATAAGAGCTTAGTGGATCTAATGAAATAAAAAATTGGCTCATACATTACACCATCTCTTTCAAATATCAGATGGTTAACAGAATTAAAATAATTTATCTTTGCCCCAAATGCCAATTTTCACTTACTTTAATTAAAGAAAGACACCAAATTTCTCGAAGTGGAAACTTATCCAATGATTAGAACCAAAATACCTGGCAGACAGTTGCTTAGATAGCTGTCCGATCTCCATTCTCCCTGCCAGCTCACACACTGTCCCACAGCCCACACTGGCAAAAACTGGAGGCTGATTCTGTGAAGAAAGTATCCAGGTAGTCTGTAGACTTGGGGACATCGGACACAATTGAGGGCAATAATACCACAATGAATTCAGGGGGCTAAGTGAAAAGATACATTCTGTACACTTTATCCTTCAGCAGTAGGTTGGGTAACTTGGAAGAGCCTTCCCCAGGAAATCTGGTTAAGCCAAGTGAAAAAGCCTAAATATGCAGACATGGGAGATCATTTAGTTCAATAATTCAGCCAGATCACCATGAAATTCACAGCAAAAAAGAATTTTATGTGGAGCTATCAATCAACTTTCTAGACCCTACTCTTAAATATGAGGAGATAACTAAAAATTCATTATTTTAACAAATAGCATTAAATAGAGACTCCAAAATAAGCAAACAGGAAGAAGAGACAAATCAGGCAAAACAGATCATTAAGAAGAAGAAAATTTCAAAACATAAAGACTTCTACCCCTAAGAATTTACCCAAAAGAAATGAAAATATATCCACACAAAGACTGGCACAGGAATCCTCCTAGCACTGTTCATAATAGCTAAAAAAATTAGAAACAACTTAAATGTCCATCAATTTGTGAATAGACAAAATGTGGTATACCCATACAGTGGAATACTACCAGCAATAAAAAGAAACAAGCTGCTACATGTGCTGCAACTTGGATAAATCTAAAAAAAATTATTGTTAAATGAAAGAAGGCAGATGCAGGATACCACATATTGTATGATTCCATGTATAGGAAATTTCACAAAAAAACATTGAGTTTTGTGTGAAGAGGAAAACATTGTTTTTTCCATGGTCATATAAAAACACAGAATAAGAGCTTAGTGGATCTAATGAAATAAAAAATTGGCTCATACATTACACCATCTCTTTCAAATATCAGATGGTTAACAGAACTCAGGTGTTAGAATTAAAATAATTTATCTTTGCCCCAAATGCCAATTTTCACTTACTTTAATTAAAGAAAGACACCAAATTTCTCGAAGTGGAAACTTATCCAATGATTAGAACCAAAATACCTGGCAGACAGTTGCTTAGATAGCTGTCCGATCTCCATTCTCCCTGCCAGCTCACACACTGTCCCACAGCCCACACTGGCAAAAACTGGAGGCTGATTCTGTGAAGAAAGTATCCAGGTAGTCTGTAGACTTGGGGACATCGGACACAATTGAGGGCAATAATACCACAATGAATTCAGGGGGCTAAGTGAAAAGATACATTCTGTACACTTTATCCTTCAGCAGTAGGTTGGGTAACTTGGAAGAGCCTTCCCCAGGAAATCTGGTTAAGCCAAGTGAAAAAGCCTAAATATGCAGACATGGGAGATCATTTAGTTCAATAATTCAGCCAGATCACCATGAAATTCACAGCAAAAAAGAATTTTATGTGGAGCTATCAATCAACTTTCTAGACCCTACTCTTAAATATGAGGAGATAACTAAAAATTCATTATTTTAACAAATAGCATTAAATAGAGACTCCAAAATAAGCAAACAGGAAGAAGAGACAAATCAGGCAAAACAGATCATTAAGAAGAAGAAAATTTCAAAACATAAAGACTTCTACCCCTAAGAATTTACCCAAAAGAAATGAAAATATATCCACACAAAGACTGGCACAGGAATCCTCCTAGCACTGTTCATAATAGCTAAAAAAATTAGAAACAACTTAAATGTCCATCAATTTGTGAATAGACAAAATGTGGTATACCCATACAGTGGAATACTACCAGCAATAAAAAGAAACAAGCTGCTACATGTGCTGCAACTTGGATAAATCTAAAAAAAATTATTGTTAAATGAAAGAAGGCAGATGCAGGATACCACATATTGTATGATTCCATGTATAGGAAATTTCACAAAAAAGTGAATATATATAGACAGAAATTAAATGAGTGACTGCTGAAGGTAGGGGAAGGTGGAGGGAATGGGATGGAACTTACTGGGGTGACCTAAGTATTCTAACACTGACTTAGGGTGATGGTCATACAACTTAGTAAATTTACTAGAATTTTATACTTAAAATGGCAAAATTATATGATATGTCAAATATATATTAGCGAAATTATATATTGAAAAGCTATAGTTAATATTATTAGGAAGATAAGATTTTGTAAGAATAAAACAGAAGAGCAAAAGGCTATATTTTAAAGGAACATTCAGAAAATAAAGAACTTTTGGGAATTGAAACTATGTTAGCAGGAGTGAAAAAGTTCATGTCATAAAGTTTTTCAAAAAAGTAGAGCAAAAATTCAAACATGGAAAATAGTAAAGAAAAGATAATATTAGAGAAATGGTCCAGGAGTTCTAAGAGCTGAATTATAAGATTTCTATAAAGAAGAAATTTCCATAAAAAGGAAATGCAGCAAAATTGAAAAAATGATAATGTAATAATTTAGGAATAATCTCAGAAAAGAAGTAGTAGTTTTCAAATGGGAATGGTTGCCATGTGTAATGGCATCAGAAAA